AGGATCTGCAAGAAATACCTGACCCGCATGTCTCCCATGAAGATCATCCTGGAGATGGAGATTGGAATTACAGGTGGTGTAGAAGACGGCGCTACTTGGACACAGGGATTCCGCAATCCTCTTCGTAGAGCCATGCTCTTGCTTCATCTTTGCCGTGGCCGAGGTGGACAACACTGGAGCTGCAAAGGAGAAGCTGTACTCAACCCCCGAGGAGTGGGCTGATGCCGCTGGAAGCCTCAACTAAGCATGCTCAGGGTTGTCGGAGCTGTCCCGCAGGACGTGTGGGCAGTCTATGCAGGTCTGAATCCTATCTCGCCCATGTTCACGATTGCAGCCGCTTTTGGCAACGTCCATGGAGTCTACAAGGCAACGGACTTTGGGAGACTCCGTGGGGGGTTCAGATTCTAGGAAGCTCGCCTGGGAGGTTGACCAACCCTTGCACGCTGGGAGTTTCTATGTATCGAAGCACTTGTTGGTGCTTTCCCTTCACAGGGGGGTGAGTCTGGAGCTGTCTAGACTTTCTTCCTTTTCTGGGGCTTCCGAGGCCTCGAAGCCTACCGTGGATCAGGAATCAATCGCAGCTTCACTCTCGCGTCAGGGAATAAGTGTGGATAGACGAGTTGGAGTAGACTAGGTCCCTGGATTTGAAATTCAGGCGAACTCATCGAGGGTACGCAGGCCTCAGACATTGGCAATGTCATTGGTCTCGTTACAGGCCGGCAATGTGGTCTTGAAGCCAGAACTGCTGGCTGACTGCCAGAAGTATGTCCAGCGCTGAGACTCCGTCCACGCTGCGAGCTGCTGCGGTGCTCATGCGCTTCTCCTGCTGTGATCAGGCCAGCGAGAAATTAAAGGCCGAGCTGCAGACAAGAAGACCAGCTGCTGCATGCCATGCTACGGACATGCTCTGACCCACGAGACATGCAGGCAGAGGGCAAGGACATTGCGAAGCCACTCAACTTTGCCTCTTGATTGCCATAGTGCCAGGACACATTCGCAAGTCGCTACGACAGAGTTCCCTGTCTGCGGCCTGCACTCAGAGGTTTTCCATGGTGGCTCTGGATCCGAGAAGCATCACATCACAACTGCGCTCAATGCTGGTGTGGCGACCTTAGAAAGTGAATAAGTTGAAAGCATGCCCAACGCGGGGGGTTCGTTGAATCAAGTCGCGACTGCACCCTGCTTTATCTGACCCTGTGATGAAAGCTTCTTGTCTTGTCGTTGGTGTTTTGCATCGGCAGAAGGGAGGTGGTTTAGATCGGCCAACGGACGAGTTATCAGAAGGAACAGGGAAGCCATTCAATCATGCCGACATGTTTGAGGAGTAATATTCCGTGCTGCGGTCAAGGTTGTGAAGATGAACGTGGACCCGTGGATGCAAACAATGCTCTGGCACCTCCCAGGGATCTAATTGCCGCAGCAGCTCTGTTGCCCCTATCAATCGGATGTGCCAGGCTTGTCGATTGTTTCTGCGTTGATGTCTAGTGACTCAGAACGGTATCCAGTACCAGCCAAGATGCCGTAGTTTGGAGTGGTTAAACGACTGGGCTTTTGCCGAGTCCTCCATGTACCTCAGGACACCGACACTCAGTGGGCATACTGGGAAGGTCTGCTGAAGTTCTACAAGGCTTGGCACGTTCATGGTAGGTGTTTGCTGCTTGACTCAGCCTCTTGTTTTAAAGTAGCGAAGTTCGTGGCATAAGTGAGAGAACAGCCTGAGGCGTCCCCACAGTGCTTTTGCATGCGTGCTGTCAGGCCAAGGAGGGCTACCTCCAGGGTCAGATCGGCAATCCCGAGGGCGAGGAAGCGGGGAAGTCGGCGTCAGGGCCATGATGACGTGTTCCACTTATTCCAAGACCCTCGAAAATCTCATCGATGCACAACATGCAACAACATAGTTCGAAACCACCCATAACAAGAATCACTGTTGAGTTCGGCAGTGCTTCTCTCTGAGTCGCTACAGCAGAGCCGAAGCGCATGCACATCGCAGTCTGGTTGTTGCATCTGTCGTTGAATCTAAGCAAGTACCATAAAGCACTGCATACAAGAAGAGGGTGGCAATCCGGCGGCATCACGAGCCCCTGGATGAATGATCTGCTCCTGCTTGATATCTACTGTTGGCACCAGATCGGCATTTCAAGTGATGGCCAGTGGGTAGTGGATATGATCTGCACGGCGGCGGTGTCAGGACAAGCCGAACAAGAGCTACTACGACCCTCGTAAGTGGATCCGCGAGTCCGCAGCCCAGCAAGCCGTTTCGCCTTTCGACTCGAACTTTGTGAGCTTTGGAGGTGCGAAATGACCATGGTCAGCCGCGTCAAAGAGAGCTGTGCTGATCTGGCGCTCCCTGGTTGCAAGTCATCCTGTCGCCCCACGGGCCCACAGGAAGCTGGAACGGACTTGAGCAATAATCTACGTGCAGTATCATGTTAGCCAAAACCATGATGAAGGGTCGGAAGCTGATAACGCAGCTTGTCGATAGCCTTCCGTGAAGATTCACCCAGGAACACGAACTGAGCTGGGCCCTCGGAACACGGAGCTGCATCTGTCGCATGCTGTTAGCACAGTCAGCAGGCCGTGTGCCGTGGATCCTCCAAACCTCTCAAGAGCACTTGTGCTCAGGTGAGAGCTGCAGCAGCGGCTGATCTTCATCTGAGATCTTTGTCAGATCACAGTCCGTGAGGTTGTGGACCAGTTGTGGAGTGATGACGATTCGAACGCGACTGCTGAACGCCTCCAGCTACTGCTGTTGAAGTCGCTTCGACAAGTCCAATTTTAAGCTGCTTCAATAGTTTCGACCGCGAGCTGTACCGCACAAAGGTGCGACGGCAAAACGACCCCTTGTGGTATCCTGTGCTGGTCGTTTTTTCTCTGCTGCTATCCTTTCTGATGACCCGCTTCAGAGACCTTCGATCCCGGCAGAGGACTTCTCCACCCGGTGGCGAAGCCCGGGCGGCACTGACACTGCGTCCCGACCCTGGCTGGAAGGGCGTTCAGTCGGCGGTAGCACGTCAGGAAAGATCGTTGAGAGGTGCTGCAAACTGGCTCGCTCGGCAGACAGGGCTTTGGACATACCTTGGACCCTGGGAACGAGCTCCCAGCTTGGAAAATGGCGACACATGCTCGCCCAGATCAAGAGCACTTCTGGAGATGAGGTGGCGCTCTTGACGGCTGCTGCAGGCCTTCATTGTGCTTGGCGCTCGAAACAGAGCAGAGCACGAGCTGAGCCTTCAGACTGATTTCTGCCGAGGCTCCAATCGGTGCGGTCAGTTCTGGCTCGCTTTTGACCTGCCGTCTCCCGTCTGCTTCGAGCGATTGCGACGTCACGACAGGTGAAAGCAATGGGTTTCAAGCGAGATGTTTTCGGTGCACTTGCTGGCGGAGATCCTTTGCCGAGTGCTTAGGAGCTTCACAATCAAAGACCATCCGCCCAGAAAGGCTGTTCTCTGATGCCTCGCTTCGCAATGCAGGCTTTCCCACGTGGCCAGCTCTGCCTCAACGATGCTCGCGCTGTCAACGGCTGGGCTGGCAAGTCACTGCCTCGGAGCAGTGCACGAGCAGGGCCGTCGTAGGCTGGCGGACGATCCTTTCAGGCATCGGAACAACATCCGGGCGCCCTTCCTCGCGCGGCAGCACCGCAGACGATCCGAACTCTTTGTGGAAGTGCAGTCCTCACCGAATCGGCGATCAAGGGAGGGGTTCCTACTTAGACGCTTGGCAAGGCTGGTCCGGCGACTGCAATATCGAGCTCGCCCGCCCTGCGCTTTGGAGGACCTGCCGGCAAGTCTGGCAAGGCAGACCCGGGTTTGCCCTTCGCGGGTTGCTGCAGGATCTGAAGCGGGTGAGAATGCTGTCGAGCCGGCAAGATTGAGCATCGAGCATAGTGCAAGCCCAATTGGCACTCACAAGAATCAGCAGTGCTCCGTGTTTGATCCGCCGTAGTGACAGGGGGAGAAACCCAAGGTTGTTTCACTGGGGGGCAGCAAGGAATTGACGCCCTCGAGGAACCAAGACGTTGGCTGCGAGCGTGCCGCGCGTGGGGGGGTGGGGGGGCTGCTTAAGGGTACGCTCCTCTAGGGCCACAAGTAAACAGCAAGAGAGCCAAACTGGGATGATTCGATTCTCGCCGAGCCCAGATGTAAAGCCGAAACAAGGCGGGGGAACTCCCCGTTGGAACTTCCAAAACCCTGCCGAGACTTGCAAGTGCAAGTTCGCACGCGCGGGGGGGTGAGCGCCCGCTTGCCTCCTCCGTCCTGGTAGAGAGAGAGAGAGAGAGAGGCCTGAGGGTCCCGATAACGGACCCCTACGCCCGGCAGAAAGAAAGAAAGAAAGAGAGAGAGAGAGAGAGAGCAAAACTGCTGTGCCGAAGAAGAAGAAGAATTAAGAAGAAGAAAAAGAAGAATGACAAACAATAACAAACGAAACGACTGTGCACAAGGGTATGTTCGAAGGCAGGATGTGGCTAGTCTTGAAGTGGCGATTTTGTCTGCCTTGTTCTTGGCAGCTGTGGGGTTGGAAAGCCCTGCCAAAGCCGTTTTCTGTCACAGCATTTTTCACATAGAGTAGCATCAGTACTGGATGAATCCGGGGTTGAAGAACTTGTGGGTGCAGTTTCTGTTCCCGGCTGTAGCCTTCCCGCCCCTCCGCCCCAGGAAGCTTGCCAGAAGGCCAGAAAACCTGAGCATGGGAAACACGAGCAGATTCGAAACCCGGAAGCCAACGTTTCTTCGACAGGACCGAACTAGACCACGTCCGACACGGACCAATGGGTCAACAATTCAAGCAGTAGCACACATTGAAGCATTGGTTCCAGTGAGAAGCTATTGAACAAATTCCGTGGAACGAAGGAGTCGCCGCAGCCATCTTCTGGAAAGATCTGCGAACTTCGTGAGAGGAATGTGTGAGCTGGACAATCGACTAGTGGGAGCTCGGACCCGGAAATCTTTGATGGCTTTCATCTCAGGCGTCTTTTGGCTTCATTGTTTTTGCCCCGGCTTCTACCAGGATTTCTTTTCAACAAGTTCAAGTCATCGAGTTCATCTCACAGACGTCGCTCACAAAAATCTTCATAATTCGTCATCCATTGCTGCCGGCCCTTCGATGCCAGGCTGGAGGCAGACGAAAGCCCCATGCCATTCAAGTTGGAGATGCTCGAAGGTTTCTCCCAAGAGGCCCTGGTACCTGATGCCCTACGAGCCAAGCAGGGCCTGAGTGGCCCTGAGCTCCTTGTACTTGTAGGAGCTAGAAGAAGCCTTGGCCGCTGCTCCAAGCTTAGAGACCTACCCGCCTCCGCCATGCGAGCACGCGCAACTTTTTCCAAGGCGAGGGAGCGGCGCCTGCTGCTGTCTGGATTGGCGGGATCCTGAAATGCACCAAAAAGCATCCGATCGAATGTTTCGGGATGGAAAGACTTTCAGGTTCTGGCTGCAGCAGATCTGGCGTTCCTGGCATTGCCCCAGAAGCAGCGTGGATCCCAGTTCGTAGCGCCATTCCATGGGCTCTAAGCTTGCTACGTAAGTTCTGCGAAGTGAGTTTGCGCGTGCAGATTCTTGGCCGGGGATTGAAATAAGCACTTGTAATTGGACGTCACCAGATCCGTTATTGACCAGGCACTTTGCTTGGGCAGACCTTGCTCGTGACGACCGCGAGGCCCCAGATCGTAACATTTCATTTGCCGTGTGCTCTCGACTGAGGAGCAATTGTGTTTGTAGCAAGCGCGATCAACTTTCGGAAGACATCCTGGCATGCCTTTGGCTCTTGCGCTGCCTTCCCATGATGTCATGTGCATGCTGCGCTGGCAACTGGACATCGTCAGTGCCAGCAGCACTCCCGACCGAGCACCCACTTAGCGCGGGGTATGCTGCAGCCCAGGCAACACTGGTGACTAGCGTAGCGGACCGCGAAGGCATAGTACAAGCACCCGAAAGCCCGCGTTGCTGTTCAGATGTATGGTGGTACAGTGGTCTGTTGTGGATTTGGCGATGAAGATTTCATCGCCTTTTAGACCGGGGCCCCTTCGAGTTGAGAGCCTCCGAGTTTGCATGTGCATGAAGCGAGCGTTGTGCTGTAGGTGGGCTTCCATGCTCCGCAGTGGCTGCGTGGTTTGGCAGAAGTGTGCCGCCCCTTCCTGCACCGCCCCGAAGGGCAAGCCGTGATTTCTGTTTTCCGAGGCTGGCCATTCCTTTATACGACACGCTCCACACCCTCGGAGAGGTGGAGTTCAAAGCATGCGAACTTTGCATCTGTTGATCTTTTGACTTGTCCCGGATGCTGTGAGTTGGCATATGGCGCCTCCAATGGCCATCTTCTGGCAGTCGCAGCCCTGCTTTCGAAAGACTCTGCGACAACCGTCGCGGCAGCAGTCCCCCATGCCAACAACTGCCAGCGCTAGGTGCCACTGGACCATCTTCGTGATCACGCGCGTCATTGGAAGGTTCGGGCCCCAGTCTGTGGCTAGCAGCACAAAGGCATCTCAATCCCAGTACCCTACGTTCACGCTGAGAAACATCCACTCC